CAGCAGCTTGCCATGCCTTGCCTAGGGCAAGGCAGCCTAGCCGAAGCCAGCAGGATGCCATGCCAAGGCCAAGGCTGCCCAGCTAAAGCCAGCAGCAAGCCATGCGAAGCCAATGCCTGCAGGTTTCCATGCCATGTCTAGGCCAAGGCAGCCTAGGCAAAGCCAGCAGCATGCCATGCCAAGCCAATGCCAGTAGGTTGCCATGCCATGCTAAGGCCAAGGCAGCCTACCAAGCCATTGCCAGAAGGTTGCCATGCCATGCTAAGGCCAGGGCAGCCTAGCCAAAGCCAGCCGCATGCCACGCCAAGGCCAAGGCCCGCCCGACGGGGTATTGTAAGTGGCAGAGTGGCCACGCTGCCACGATCCACTGAGATTCAGCCCTGCGTCGCTTCGATTCGTCCCTCCTCTCCTCTCTGTCCCTGTCCCCTAGCGGAGGTCCGAGAGCACGTAGTGCGCACCTCGAGACACAAAAATGATTCACGTGCACGGCGAAACGAAATTCCTAAGGCCCCAGGGGATTGATGACACTACAGGACGAGTTGTACGACGACTGCAGCCTTGGCCAGCATGTCATGCCATGCCTTAGCGTTCGCCAGCATGCCACGCCACCAGCTTGGCCAGCATTCCATGTTGAAGCATTGGCCAGCATGCCACGGCACGGCCTTGCCTTGGCCGGCATGTCATGCCACCGCCTTGGCCAACAGGCCATGCCTTAGCATTCGCCAGCATGCCAAGCCAGGGACTTGGCCAGCTTGTCATGCCACTACGTTGGCTAGCATGCCACGCCACAGCCTTGGCCACATCGGCATGCAACGACCTTGGCCAGAATGCCATGCCTTAGCCTTCCTAGCATGCCACGACATCGACTTGCAAGCGTGCCATGCGACTACCCAGGCCAGCATGCCACGCCACGGCCATGCCAAGCATGCCTTGGCACCGCCTTCGCAAGCATGCCATGCCACTGCCCTGGCTAGCATGCCATGCCACAGCGTTGCCAAGCATGCCATGGCGGGCACGCCATGCTACGGCCGCAGCCAGCTTGCCATGCCACGGTGTTGTGTAACATGCCATGCCATGGCGTTGTCCAGCGTGCCATGCCACTTCCTTAGCCTTGGCCAGCAAGCCATGCCGTTGCCTTAGCCTTGGCCAGCATGCCTTGCCATGGGGTTTCCCAGCATGCCATGCCACAGCGTTGCGTAGCGCGCCATGCCTTAGCCTTGGCCAGCATACCATGCCAATGCCTTGGCCAACATGCCATGTCAACGCCTTAGCCTTGGCTAGCACGCCACGCCACGGCCATGCCAGGCATGCCATGGCACCTCCTTGGCAAGCATGTCATGCCAATGCCCTAGCCAGCATGCCATGCCACAGCGTTGCCTAGCATGCCATGCCACGGCGTTGCCCAGCATGACAAGGCGGGCATGCCATGCCACAGCCTCGGCCAGCATGCCATGCCACGGCCTCGGCCCGCATGCCTTGCGGCCGCCTTGGCCCAGCGTGCCTTGCCACACGGCATTGCCCAGCGTGTCATGCCTCTGCCACGGCCAGCATGCCATGCCACCGCCCTGGCCAGCCTACCATGCCAACGCCTTAGCCATGGCCAGCATGCCATGCCACGGCCATGCCGAGCATGCCATGGCATTGCCCTGGCAAGCATGCCGTGCCACAATGTTGCCCAGCATAGCCAAGGCCGGCATGCCATGCCACGGCCGCCTTGGCAAGCATGCCGTGCCACTGCCCTGGCAAGCATGCCATGCCACAATGTTGCCCAGCATAGCCAAGGCCGGCATGCCGTGCCACGGCGTTGCCCAACATGACAAGGCGGGCATGCCATGCCACAGCCTCGGCCAGCATGCCATGCCACGGCCTCGGCCCGCATGCCTTGCGGCCGCCTTGGCCCAGCGTGCCTTGCCACACGGCATTGCCCAGCGTGTCATGCCTCTGCCACGGCCAGCATGCCATGCCACCGCCCTGGTCAGCCTACCATGCCAACGCCTTAGCCATGGCCAGCATGCCATGCCACGGCCATGCCGAGCATGCCATGGCACCGCCTTGGCAAGCATGCCGTGCCACTGCCCTGGCAAGCATGCCATGCCACAATGTTGCCCAGCATAGCCAAGGCCGGCATGCCGTGCCACGGCCGCGGCCGGCATGCTTAGCCACGTCGTGGCCCGGCACGCCAACGCAGGCATGCCATGCCACAGCCTCGTCCAGCATGCCATGCCAAGGCCTAGGCTCGCATGCCTTGCCACGGCCGCCTTGGGCCAGCGTGCCTTGCCACGGGCAGCATGCCACTGCCTTGGCCAGCCTGCCGTGCCTTAGCCTTGGCCAACATGCCATGCCAACGCCTTAGCCTTAGCCAGCATGCCACACAACGGCCATGCCAAGCATGCCGCTGCGTGCCATGCCATGCCCCGGCCTCGGCCCGCACGGCATGCCACAGCGTTGCCTAGCATGCCAAGGTCGAAATGCCATGCCATGGCCTCGCCCCGCAAGCCATGCCATGCCACAGCTATGGCCTCGGCCCGCATGCCTTGCCACGGCATTGCCCAGCATGCCACGCCACAGTGTTGCCCAATGTGCCATGCCTTAGCCTTGGCCAACATGTCATGCCACGGCCTCAGCCTGCATGGCATGCGACAGCGTTGCCCAGCATGCCTTGCCACAGCGTTGCCCAGCACACCAAGGTAGGAATGCCATGCCATGGCCTCGGCCTGCATGCCATGCCATGGCGTTTCCCATCATGCCAACGCCGGAATGCCATGCCACGGCCTCGGCCTACATGGCATGCCACAGCGTTGCCCAGCCTGCCTTGCCACGGCGTTGCCCAGCATGCCAAGGCCGGAATGCCATACCATGGCCACGGCGAGCATGCCATGCCACGGCCTTGGCCCGCTTGCCTTGCCACGGTGTTGCCCAGCGTGTCAGGCCTTAGCCGTGGCCAACATGCCGTGCCACAGCCTCGGCCTGCATGCGATGACACAGCGTTGCCCAGCATGCCAGGGCCGAAATGCCATGCCACGGCCACGGCCTCGGCCCGCATGCCATGCCACGGCCTCGGCCCCCAC